ATGGAAGTCCCTTAGCGTTTTTTTTACACTAGCATTTTACTCTTATAATGTATCTAAGTTGTTTCTCAAGATGCAGGGCATGCTCTAAATTAAAACTCCACAGTTACAGGATTTGAAAATTAAACTTTGGGGTGGAAATGAAACCTTTAAGTAACTGGTATTTATATCTTGTCTGTAGGCAGATTACTAAATTTTCAGGAATTAAATTCTTACCACAAAAAATCTGAAAAGAACCTGAAGGGTTTTTTCCTTCTGTAGTGAAGTTACCTTTTCTTTTACACACTACACGTTCCAACCAGTAGTTCCCACAGCTAGCAGCGCACAGAAAGATACTAAGGGAGGAGACCACACCTCGTATCGTCTTATGCCCAATTTCTGCCGCCAAAGAAAGAAGTAAAAACTAAAAGGCAGAAATGAAACCCACAGGCAGACAGCCCGGGGCCGCACCTTGGGCCTGGTAGTTAAAGATCGACCCCTGACCTAATTGGTTGTTATCTATAGATTACAGACATTGTATAGAAAAGCACTGTGAACATCCCTACCCTGTTTTGTTCTGATATAATTACCCGTGCATGCAGCCCCCAGATTGAGCTGCTTGCTCAATCGATCACGACCCTCTCACATGCACCCCCTTGCGAGCCCTAAAAAGGGTCAGGAATTGCTCACTCAGGGGGCTCGGCTCTTCAGACAGGAGTCTTGCCAATGACCCCGGCCAAATAAATCCCTTCCTTATTTAACTTGCTGTCTGGGGTTTTGCAGATTATGGATTCCAAACTTTGCAGTACTAGCCAAACCTTTCCACGCGGTTACAAAGGGGGATGACCAGGAGCCTTTTGAATGGGGGCGTCTACAACAGCAAGCCTTTTGTAAGTTAAAGGAAAAACTTACGTTGGCTCCAGCCCTAGGACTACCAGATTTGACAAGGCCCTTTATACTCTATGTGTCAGAAAGAGGAAAAACGGCAGCTGGAGTTTTAACCCTGGCCAAGGCCAGTGGCCTGTCTCTCAAAACAACTAGATGGGGTTTCCAAAGGCAGGCCACCATGTCTAAGGGCCCTGGCAGCAACAGCCCTGTCAGTACAAGAAGCAGATAAACCCTTGGGCAAAATCTGAATATAAAGGGCCCCCATGCTGTGGTAACTTTGATGAATACCAAAGGACATCATTGGCTAACAAATGCTAGATTAACCAATTACTAGAGGAAGTGTGGAAACCTCAGAGGGTGGCAGTCATGCAATGCAGGGGACACCAGCGAGCCTCCACCTCAGTGGCCTTAGGAAACTCTCGAGCTGATTCAGAAGCTCGAAAAGCAGGATCTACCCCTTACCCAGCATTGGTAGTAGCCCCCTCACTCCCTCAAACACCTGACCTGGTACGTACCTATCCTAAGAAAGAAAAAGACTTCTTCCATGCAGAAGCGGGGCAAGCAATAAGAGGAGGATGGATCAGACTGCTAGATGGGAGGGTAGCTGTGCCGCAGTTGCTGGGAGCCACAATCGTATTGGCGGTGCACAAAACCATTCATCTAGGTCAAAACACTCTTAGGCCAGTACTTCTACGTCTCACACTTGCCAGTTCTTGCCAAAGCAGTAGCACAACGGTGCGTTACTTGCCGACAGCACAATGCAAGGCAAGGCCCTACTGCTCCACCCAGCATACAAGCTTATGGAGCGGCTCCTTTGGAGGATCTTCAGGTGGATTTCACAGAAATGCTGAAATGTGGAGGTAACAAGTATTTGCTGGTTCTTGTGTGTACTTACTCTGGGTGGGTGGAGGCTTATCTAGCATGAACTGAAAAGGCCTACGAGGTAACCTGTGTGCTTCTCTGAGATCTTATTCCTGGGTTTGGACTGCCCTTACAAATGTGCTCAGATAACGGGCCGGCGTTTGTGGCTGACTCGGTACAGAAGACAGCAAAGGCAGTAGGAATCACTTGGAAGCTACATGCCACCTACCGACCTGAGAGTTCCGGAAAGGTGGAGCAAATGAATCTGACTGTCAAAAAAAGTTTAGGGAAAGTATGTCAGGAAACAGGATTAAAGTGGATACAGGCCCTTCCTATGGTATTGTTTAAAATTAGATGCACTCCTTCTAAGAAAAAAGGATACTCCCCTTATGAAATACTGTATCATAGGCCTCCTATACTACGGGGGCTTCCAGGCACTCCCTGAGAGTTAGGTGACATTGAATTACAGCGACAGCTACAGGCTTTAGGAAAAATTACATAAACAATCTCAACTTGGGTAAATGAGAGGTGTCCCATCAGCTTATTCTCCCCAGTTCACCCTTTCTCTCCAGGTGATCGTGTGTGCACCAAGGACTGGAACGTAGCCCCTTTGCGGCCACGGTGGAAAGGACCTCAGACTGCCATCCTGACCTCCCCCACGGCTGTAAAGGTAGAAGGAATCCCAGCCTGGATCCACCACAGCCATGTGAAACCTGCAGCCGAGGAAACCTGGGAGGCAAAAACTGAGCCCGGACAACCCGTGCAAAGTGACCTCGAGGAGGACAACGAGCCCTGCTCCAGTCACACCTGGAAGCTGACTGGTCTACACACGGCCGAAGCATGAGGAGAATCATCGTGGGACTCATTTTCCTTATAACGTGGACTTGTATAGTAAAAGCTTCCACTGATTTTCCCTGCATGGAAAACTGCTCTCAGTGTATACATCAGGTTACCGAGGTAGGGCAACAAGTTAAACAATCTTTCTGTTCTATAGTTACTATGAATGCCTAGGAACTTTAAAAGGAACATGTTTATATAATGACACTCAGGACGAGGTATGTAGCCCAGGAAACGACAGACCAGATGTGTGTTATGACCCCTCTGAGCCTCCCATGTCTACAGTTTTTGAAATAAGATTAAGGACTGAAGATTGGTGGGGACTCATAAATGATACAAGTAAAGTATTAGGCAGAACAGAAGAAAAAGGGGGCCCAAACGCATAATCTTGAAATTTGATGCCTGTGCCATCATTAATAGCAGTAAGTTAGGAAGGGGATGTGGCTCTTTCAGTTGGGAAAAAGGCTGTATGACCGAAAATAAGTACACTTGTCATGAATTAGGACTGTGTGGAAATGAATGTGGATACTGGTCTTATGTCATTTGGGCCACTTGGATAAAAAATGAAAAGGATCCAGTCCACCTTCAGAATGGAAAAAATGGCCCTTCCTGCACTAAGGGACAATGTAACCCCTTAGAGCTAGTAATAACCAATCCCCTTGATCCTTGCTGGAAAAAAGGGGAGCGTGTGACCTTAGGAATCGATGGGGCTGGACTGGATCCTTGAGTAAATATCTTGGTTCGAGGAGAAGTTTACAAATGCTCTCCTGGGCCAGTGTTTCAAACTTTCTATGATGAACTAAATGTACCAGTACCAGAAATTCCAGGAAAAACAAGAAATTTGTTTTTGAAATTTGCTGAGCATGTAGCCCAGTCTCTCAGTGTCACTTCATGTTATGTATGTGGAGGAACTGTAATGGGAGATCAATGGCCATGGGAAGCCCGAGAATTAGTACCTACAGACCTAGTTCCTGATGAATTCCCAGCTCAAAAGAATCACACTGATAATTTCTCGGTCCTAAAAGCCTCAATTATTGGAAAACATTGCATAGCTAGTGAAGGAAAAGAATTCACTCACCCCGTAGGACGATTTAGTTGTCTGGGACAGAAACTGTATAATGGTACCACAAAAACAGTCACTTGGTGGAGTTCAAATCAAACAGAGAGGAATCCATTTAGTAAGTTCCCAAAGTTGCAAAACCGTGTGTACCCACCCGGAGTCCCACCGGGACTGGACAGCCCCCACTGGATTATACTGGATATGTGGGCATAGAGCTTATGCCAAATTACCTGACCAGTGGGCAGGTAGTTGTGTTATTGGCACTATTAAACCATCTTTCCTCCTACTGCCCATAAAAACAGGTGAACTCCTGGGTTTCCCTGTCTACGCTTTCTGCAAAAAGAGAAGCACAGCTATAGGAAATTGGAAAGATGATGAATGGCTCCCTGAGAGAATCATACAATATTATGGGCTTGCTACTTGGGCACAAGATGGCTCGTGGGGACACCGGACCCCCATTTACATGATCAACCGAATCATACGATTATAAGCTGCTTAGAAATAATCACTAATAAAACCGGCAGAGCCTTGACTATTCTGGCCCAGCAAGAAACTCAGATTAGAAATGCTATCTATCAAAATAGATTGGCTCTCGACTACTTGCTAGCAGCTAAAGGAGGAGTCTGTGTGAAATTTAACCTTACTAATTGCTGTCTACAAATAGATGATCAAGGGCAAGTAGTTGAAGACATAGTTAGAGATATGACAAACTGGCACATGTGCCTGTGCAAGTGTGGCATGGATTTGATCCTGGGGCCATGTTTGGAAAATGGTTCCCAGCACTAGGAGGATTTAAAATTCTTATAATAGGAGTCATAATAATAATAGGAACCTGCCTACTGCTCCCTTGTTTGCTACCTGTACTTCTTCAAATGATAAAAAGCTTCGTCGTTACCTTAGTTCACCAAAATGCTTCAGCACAAGTGTACTATGTGAATTACTATCGATCTATCTTGCAGAAAGACATGGGTGGTGAAAATGAAAGTGAGAACTCCCATTAATAAAATGAGTGAGAGTCTCAACAGGGGGGAATAAGGGAGGAGACCACCCCTCATATCATCTTATGCCCAATTTCTGCCGCCAAAGAAAGAAGTAAAAACTAAAAGGCAGAAATGACATCCACAGGCAGACAGCCCGGCACCGCACCCTGGGCCTGGTAGTTAAAGATCGACCCCTGACCTAATCGGTTATGTTATCTATAGATTACAGACATTGTATAGAAATGCACTGTGAAAATCCCCATCTTGTTTTGTTCCGATCTAATTACTGGTGCATGCAGCCCCCAGTCACGTACCCCCTGCTTGCTCAATCGATCACAACCCCCTCACATGCACCCCCTTAGAGTTGTGAGCCCTTAAAAGGGACAGGAATTGCTCACCTGGGGGGCTCGGCTCTTGAGACAGGAGTCTTGCTGATGCCCCTGGCCAAATAAACCCCCTCCTTATTTAACTCGGTGTCTGAGGAGTTCTGTCTGCGGCTCGTCCTGCTACAATACCCGGAGCTTAAAAAAAAAACATACAGCTGACCCTTGAAGAACATGGGACTGAACTGTGTGGGTCCATTTATACGCAAATTTTCTTCCACTTCTGCCACCATGATACAGAAAGACCAACCCATTCCTCAGACAACTAAATGTGAAAACAAGGATGAAGGAAATGAAGGGTGAAGGAAATTGAGGATGAAGACCTTTATGATGATCCACTTCCACTTAATGAACAGTAAATGTATTTTCTCTTCCTTATGGTTTTCTTATTAACACTTTTTCTTTAGCTTACTTTAAGAATACTGTATATAATACATCTAACCTACAAACTTTGTACCGTTTATGTTCTCAGTAAGCTTCCAATCAACAGTAGGCTGTTAATAGTTAAGTTTCTGGGTAGTTAAAAATCACAGGCGGGTTTCTGACTGCATGTCAGGGTAGGAGGAGGTTCTGGTCCCCCTAACCCCCGGGTTGTTCGAGGGTCAATGTACTGCCTGCCTCCGTCTCAGATGAACTGAAAGCAAGCCCCACAAGTTTGTATTCTTAAAAGTCCCCATATTACTGGTGCAACACATGAGAACACTTAAGATTCCTAGGAGAAATAAAACATCACAATATAATACAAAAATAGTAATTTTAGGGGGAAAAAAACCCCTCAACTTTTAAGTTAAGGTTACAGATTCTACGTGTTAAGGAACTCTAAATGAAGAAAGTAGATATCAGAAAGAATTTTCTAAGATTTAGAATTTGTTTACAATGTAAACTAATGGCCAAACATTTGAGATTTTAAGACTGCTCTATTTAAAAGGGGAAATCATGTCCAAATTACTTAAGTACGGTTTCTAGCTGAGAAGGGATGTTAAAATTACAGCTGTTCTCATGAATCATCAAAGGTGCTATATCACTGTGTGTATTTGTGTTGCGGCAGTAATCCTTTTCCTGATAACATCTATGCTGTGCCAGGAAGATTTTTAGAATATATTAATTGCAGCAATTAAAAATCATCATCAGTTATAAGCCAACTTTACACGTAACATGCCATAATATTCCTTTAAAAAATCATTACATCCTTAAAATAAACACCAGGGTTCTTACAATTTATAAATCTAAGTTTGAAATTTAGAAATAATCGGCTTCACAAATACATAAAAACTACAGTGGATACGAATTAGCAACCACATTCATAGCTCTTACAAGTTATCCTCTTCTCTTACTAGTTCCCATTTTAGTAGAATGTGAAACACTTTTGTGAATATACAGTTTTAACTACCGTGTCACTATGGTTTTTTACAAACTTTAAAAAGGCTCTCTCCTGGCTAGGTATGCCTCCCTTCTCTTACTTCTCCCTTGCCTCTTCAACTTCCTAAAAGAATGTGCTCCCTGTTATCCAGTTCTCTGACTTCTTTCCAAATTGTGTCTCTTAGCAATTTTAGTGACTTCTATGGCTTCTGCTAACACCTCTATGCAAGTTAAGTCTCAATTCAGCATCTCGAATCCAAAATCTTCTCTTCAGATCTAGAAGAGATGACCAAATTTTCTTTCCAGCTTCACTGAGGTCTGACAAATAAACATTATATCCATTAAAGGTGTACAACAGTGAGGTTTTGATATACATATTCAGATGATGACTGCAACCAAGTTAATTAACATATATATCCATGCCTCACAGTTACTTTTCTTAATGTGTCAAAAGAATACCATAAGATCTACTCTCATATACATTATTACTCGATACCACACTGTAAATTAGGTCTCCAGAACTTACTCATCTTATAACTGAAACTGTGTACCCTTTAACCAACATCTCCCCATTCCTCCCCACCCCAATCCCTGGTATCCACCATTCTACTGTCTGTTTCTGAGTCCAACTTGTTCAGGTTCCACAGTAAGTGAGGGCATGCAGTGTTTGTGTTTCTGTGTCTGGTTTATTTCGCTTAGCACAATGCCCTCCAGCTTCATCCATGTTGTTCCAAATGGCAGGATTTCCTTCTTTTAAAAGGCTGAATTATATTTCACTGTGTGTGTGAACATATACACCACATTTTCTTTATCAATTCATGTGTTGGACATTTAGGTTGACTCCATACCTTGGCTATTGTGAATAACGCTGCAACAAACATGAGAGTGCAGATATCTCTTCGAGACAGTGATGTCACTTCCTTTGGACACATACCCAGAAGTGGAACTGCTGGATCATGTGCTAGTTCTAGTTTTATTTTTTGAGGAACCTCCATATTGTTTTCCAGAATGGCCGTATCAATTTACATTCCCATCAACAACATATAAGGGTTCCCTTTTCTTCTAAACTGTCTCTTCAGCCCTGGACTCATGTTTCAAGTGATCTTCATGTGGACTGCAGTTAACCATGGGTCAGTTGGTGGCCTACAGAGCCTTGGGAGTCTCCAGAAATCGTATGCAATTGCTGCGTGTATGTGCACATGCAAATTGTCTGGAGAGAAGGATCGTAATTTTCTTCAGATTCTCAAATGCACATGTGACTCTAAAGAAAGATAAACTCAGGTAGGTCACATACTACCACTATACCAGAACCTCTGGCATAAATACTAGTGTTTTGTTTTGTTTTTGAGAAAGAGTTCCCCTCTGTCACTGAGGCTGGAGTGCAGTGGTGCAATCTTGGCTCACTGCAACCGCTGCTTCCCAGGTTCAAGCAATTCTCATGTCTCAGCCTTGCAAGTAGCTGGGATTACAAGCATGTGCCAACACGCCTGGCTAATATTTGCATTTTTAGTAGAGACAGAGTTTCACCATGTCAGCCAGGCTGGTCTCAATCTCCTGGCCTCAAGGGATCCGCCCACCTCGGCCTCCCAAAGTGCTGGGATTACAGGTGTGAGCCACCATGCCCAGCCAACACTAGTGTATTTTTAAAAGAGAAAAAAGTCCAGGTTAAGGTGTTTATTAAAGGACTTCTATAGTTAACTTTCCCAAGTAGTAGATTCCTGAAGCTTGCTAGCATCTTCTAATGCAATAGTATGGCAAACTACAGCTGTGGATCAACCGTTTTTGTAAATACAGTTTATTCACTACATACTGTCTATTCACTACATACTGTCTATGGCTGCTTTTGCAATTGAGCAGTGACAAGAACTGTATGGCCTGGAAGACTGAAATATGTTTACTATCTGACCCTTTAAGGAAAAGTTTGCAGTTATTTTAGATTTAAAAAATGTCTAAATTGAGAAAAACAGATCTAATCTTGAATAATCAAAAGAAATCCATCTTTTATTTGTAAGCAGTTTTAGATACTGGTATCAAACAAAACCCCTGTATTTTTTTAAAAATACAGTGTCTTACCTGCCATTGCTTGGCTGCTGTGGAGAGTGTCTGGAATGATCAGAAGGCTCTGACCGCTGGTCAGGAGATCGTGACCGGCTGCGGCGGGGAGGCCTATCGTGTGATCGACCAGAATGATCTGAGGCCAGTGACTGAATTTCTGAAATGTCTGTTAATAAAAGAGTGCTACTTATTTTCCCACAAAAATAATTACAGTCAAGTATAAAGTACTCCAGTAATAATGAAGATAAGCTAGTAAGTAAAATTATATATAAAATGGAAAATTTATGCATTAATTTCATCAGCCAGCGATCAAATCAATAGTGGTGAGTTGTCTACAGGAAAAAATATATATAAAACTTTTAGATTTTGAAGGTGTTTGGCTGGTAGAAAATTATCATTTCTTTCAAAGATGTCCAGTCTCCCTAGTGTTTTTAAGAAAATAGGTCACTTAGAGGGGGCCTTGAAACAGAGTCACACTCACCGTCTCTCTCAGAGGCATTAGCAGAGTGGATGCTGTCAGACAGATCAGGGACGTTCAACAGCGTAGCCCGTTCATCTCTTTGAACTACCATTTTTAATTTGCCTTTAGACCTTTCTATCAATGTCTTTGCATCTGTCAATGACATATTTTCTGTCACAGTACCATTTATCTGCAACAGAAAATAAATTATAGGTTTCAAGTAAATGATAAAATACAAATGTTAACTTGGTTTGTTATAAACAGAAATATCCAAACCACTCCTTGCTGTAAGACCCAAAATATTCTCTTTATACTTTTCCAAATTATCAAAAGTATTCCACCTTCCTGAGATGATTAAATCTTTACTGCACTGTTGCTGTCAGAAAAACCCAAAGTAGCATCCCCTAACTCCTTCTCAAACGGCTGTCACTTTCTACTACTTATAAACAAACAAATAAGCATTTCAATAATATCTGGAAGCAATTATCAGAATTTTTTAATGTGTAAGAACAGACATATCTTATCTACGAAGTAGTACCGGCTGGTGAATAATTATCTCAGGATGACCCCGTGATACCTAAAGTATCGGTGTCGACATGTAATAATGCATAAAGGGAATTTACATCCCTCTCCCGCAAACATTGATTTTTAATTCTTTTTGGCAAAACCGCTTCAAACAACAGCACAGACTACATGGTAACTCTAGAACTTGTTTTCTATTTCAGTTCATTAAAAAGTAAGAATATGACTGTACCTTCAATACAACATCACCTTCTTGAATATTGCCATCTCTTGCTGCCAAACTATCTTGTGAAATTTCCTTAACAAATATATGGCTTGCCAATCGAAGACCATATTCTGAAATAATTTAAGTAAGTATTTTTAGTGCAACATCCTAAGACAGTTAAATAGATTTCACAAGTATACAACTAAACTAATAGCCACTGCATAGAGTTTTCAAGTACAATCAATAACAAGACATTTTTCTTGGCCACCCTGCAAGTAAGACATTCCCTTTAATTAGCAAGTCTGCAATGTCTCCGTGAAAGCAAAGGGAAAGTGTATGGTTCAAATGAAGGACCGATAGACCATGTTCCCATATTACTGAAAAGGACAAAATCCCCAAGAGGACACCATTTCTTTTTGACCAAGCATTGATACACTAGCTCTTCAGAATGCTTAAGGAATACCATTTTCTTTAAGAGACAGGGTCTCCCTATGTTGCCCAGGCTGGACTCAAATTCCTGGGGTCAAATAACCCTCCTGCCTCAGGCTCCAGAGTAGCTGGGACTAACAGACATGTGTCACACTATGCCTGGCTAGAAAGATAATTCTAAAGAGTAACCTGCTTGAGGTTTGAAAAACTTTGAAAAGATTGACCATTTTATTGAAGAATATTATCATGCATATACTATTTCTATTTTTCCCAGCTCCTAGACCAAAAATATTTCTGATCCTATACACCCTATGACACTGGATAGACATACTCAGAGTACTAGCATGTATTAAATATGAGTGCAAAGGCTTACAACCAGCTAGGCAGATGTGGGCAGGAGTTATTATGCCAGTCCTTTCCTTTAAACAACCAACCAAGTATCCAAGAGTGAGGACACTGATTCTGTCTGTGGGTAAGGAATGTTGGAAGTTGAGTAAATTACTAGCAGAGTCCAGAGAACTGCCCAGGTTCCTGCAACAGCTGCAGAAAAATATATTTTAAGAAAAACAAGAACAATGACTACAACCATCAGTATAATGTCAGTAGTAAAAGGACTGCCCCTGGTTCTGTGAGGAGAGTCTTACTGCATTAAAAACAAAACCAAAAACCAAGATGGAAAACAGAAAATTGTTTTAACATGGGATAAATTAACAAGACTTATTACTGAAGTGTCTAAAAAGTATGTAACAGTAGGCTGGGCGTGGTGACTCACGCCTGTAATCCCAGCACTTTGGGAGGCCAAGGTGGGCAGATCACAAGGTCAGGAGTTCGAGACCAGCCTGGCTAGCATGGTGAAACTCTGTCTTTATTAAAAATACAAAAAATTAGCCGGGCATGGTGGTGCACACCTGTAATCCCAGCTACTTGGGAGGCTGAGGGAGGAGAATTGCTTAAACCTGGGAGGCGGAGGGTGCAGTGAACTGAGATTGTACCACTGCACTCTAAGCCTGAGAGACAAAGTGAGACTCCCATCTCAAAAAAAAAAAAAAAAAAATTACATCAGAGTTACAGTTTAACTTAAGACAAATATACAAAGAGTACTCACAGCCAGAAATAGAATCAGGGTAAAGAAAACAGCCTTTTAGGAGATCTGGGCAAGGAATGAGGCAGTCATCCATATGGTCATTACATCACAGAAGGATACGGTATTGGTTAAAAGACTGTTCTTTAGGATTAAACACATATAAATGACCATTACACAGATGATCCCAAAATATTCCTTGTATATTAGTTTGTTTGTTCATTCTAAATATTTCTTGGGGTATATATCAACTAGGTGCCAGGCATTAGGGAGAAGCAGCAAACGAGATAGTTCCTGCACTCCGGCAGGAGTCAGTGACAAAAAGGATGTCAGCATGGCAATTCCAAATGCGATGAGTTCAGAGAGCAGAAACACAAGGGTTCTGCACCTACTGGGGGAAGGAGAAGGCCTCTCCGAGGAAGAAATATTAAAGTTAAAACTTTACCTAAGAAAGACCTAAACCTGAAGATGTTTGCGTGGGAGGGGATGCATGGGGTGAGTGAGGGCTGAACAGTTCAAAACAAATGCACCCAAGTTACGAAGAAAAAAACCTGGTGGACCTAATGAAGTCATAAGTCTAGTGTAGCAGAGACTGAGAATTAATGAAGAAAGGGGAAAAAGAGTAAGACAGAAGTGTCACAGAGGATCTATGAAGAAATCTGCAGAATCAACTTAAAGGGATCCAAGAGACAACCTACGAGACCAAGTCAGTCTACGTAAGAGATAACAGTGGCCTGAAAAAGGGTGGAGGCAGTGGAGAAAGAGTGGGATGGATAAGAGTGGTATTCAGGAGTGACGACATTCATCATGCATGGGAAAAAAAGAGATGTCACGGGTAACTACCATGTCCTCTGGGAATGGCCTGAGAAACTGGATCAATAGGAACACGTTCAACTGAATATGAGAAATACAAAGAAACATTTTAAGAGGGAGATGTGTTTCATTTGAGATGTGCTGTGTTTCAGGGACCTACAGGAACATCTAAGTGAATATGCCTAACAGCTGAAACACAAGAGTGTACAGATTTGGGCTGGAGAAAGAGGTTCTGCCACCAGCAGTGACTGGAAGCAGGGGAGCAGATGAGATTGCCTAAATTGTTATTCAACCTGAGGAAAAGAAAAAAAAATTACCTTAAGTGGAAAAAAAGATTCTAGGAGAGAAACTGACAGAACATTATGAAGGGCAGGGTGAGGAGAATGAGCCTGCAAAAGATACAGAAAGGTGGGGGGGAAAAAACCAGAGAGATGCAGTATTACCAAAAGAAGACATTATTTTTAAAAATAAGGAGTGGTTAACCATGTGAAATGATACTGTAAGGCAAGCAAGCTAGAGACTGAAAAACTTCCACTAGATTTAGTGTGAACATTTTTGGGGGCAGAGCAGAAAAGATACCAGACCAGAGAGGGTTGAGAGGTAAGTGGTGAAATGAAGTAGAAACAGCAAATGTTGACAACTTCACTGAGACTTCACTGAGAAGTCTGCTCTAGAGTGGGGGTAGGGAGTACCACCTAGGAGATATGCCAAGTGGTAAAGCAGATCAAAGTAAGCCTTGATAATATTCCAACTGTAACACCCCTATATATCAAAATGATCAGTCATGCATGCCCACAGGAGGAGGAAGCCACAGTCAGATCCATTTTTTATCAAATTTAATGAGGTATGAGGGAAGGCAGCTGAGTTTCAGTTTCAAAAACTTCAAAGAAATACTGCATTATAGAGAAATGCCCTACAAGGGGTTCCTTTCCTTAAATTCCTCCATTTAAAAAACAGTCTGGAGTGAGGGGGAAGAAGTCACAGCAGGGCACAATAGCTTCCCGCCTGTAATTCCAGCACAGTGGGAGGCCGAGGCAGGTGAATTGCTTGAGCTGACCAGCTTGGGCAACATGGCAAAACCCTGCCTCTACCCAAAATGAAAAAATTAGCTGGACATGGTGGCATGTACTTGTAGTTCCAGCTACCAGGGAGGCTGAAGTGGGAGGACTGCTTGAGCCCAGGAGGCAGAGGTAGCAGGGAGCTGAGATTGTGGCACTGCACTCCAGCCTGGGTGACAGAGCCAGACCTTGTAACAACAACAACAACAACATCACCACCACCACCACCCCTACCCCAACCCTCCCCCAAGATTTCTCTCCATGATTACATTACTAACAGTTAAGAAAAACACTGAATTTCCATTTGGTGATGGTGTGACATTTCTTGTTAGCATAATTTGTACTTGGTTATTCTCATCAGGACAAATCTGAAAGCCAACCCCTGGACCATTCACTTGAAGTGCTATCTGTTCCAACAGAGAAAATGAACAGTCCCTGAAGCCTGCCATAACAGGACTTGACTTACAGTGATAGAACACAAACACAAAGACAACAAAGCAAAGACATGAAGAGACAGCAACTGTACTTCTCACTAAAATTAGTTTTAAAGTTTCATGTGAAAATAACAGCAAGAGTTGGCAGAAACTACCTTCATTCTTCCGGGATTTCACCAGTGTGACTTTGGTGGGTTTAGCGGGCTGGCTGGAAGCCACTGACCGCCTGTCTGACCGCGGAGACAAGCTCCTCTCTCTACTTGCACTTCTATCCCTCGGCCAAATCTTCTCACTCCTTCTGTTAACCACACCACTCCGGCCACTTCTTGGATCATGTATTTCCTCATCGTAACTATCTTCTTCATTATCAGATACTGGTTCAGGATCAGGACGACTTACTGGTATTTGAACTTTCTTCTTCCTTCTAATTGTCTGCAAGTTAAAAAGGTTAAAAAATAAGTTGACTGATTTTCATATATGTATGTTCAGTTCCAAAGAGAAAGGAACATTACACATCTCACCCCGTATTATGAACCAGCAAGAAACAATACACAAACCACTACAACAAATTGCTAAGGAATACATTTCTATAAAGGTTGTGTTTTCTGCTCTCCTGATGAACAGATCTAGTTAAGCACAAATAAGAAAGGGTGGGCCTAAAAATCTCTTTATTTACTTCACACAGAAAGATCTTCCTGGTGTAATAATCACAAGCTTACAGGGAAACTAACAACTGTTGGGTGGTTTGAATAAAAAGGACAGCACTGTACTCTAATGCCACCAAATATACTCTAGGTGCTACCAAAACCACAGCAAACTTCCAAGTCCAACTTGCTTCCTTAAACATTTTAGACTGTATCAGTATCAAAGCCCACCATTGCCCCAGACTTCTAAGAGATGAATTTATTCTACAGCCACACTAACATTCAATAATATGTTGGAGCTAATTAACTCAGCTGTACTTCACCAACACAAACCGCTTTCAGTCTCTAGATCTCTCCAATGTGTACTTCCGGTCTAGATGCAAATTCTTCCCTCTGGCATTCTTTTCTCGATGACTGTGGTAACTGGCTCTGTATTGCCTGTCCACTTATTTCCTTCATTCTCTGCAAGCTGAAGATCTACATGTATCACACCTGCTGACTGAGTGGCTCTGTAATCTGTGGACTACACTTTGCCTTCCTACAATAGTATACACTTGACCTCACTGTAGTTCCGCAGGATCTTCTTGTGTATCACTCCTTGTCTTCTATGTCAGACACTGTGAGCTACTGCAACTTTTCACTATCTTATTTCCAATTCCTTCATCCTCTCTTATTTTCAGTTCATCAGTTCCGTCCTGGTTTCACTCACGTTTCCCCCAAGTTGGCATGAGACATCCTGCTGCTGTATTTAAATGACTTTCTCTTGACCCCTCAATCAGCTGCCATGACAAACTCCAGTCCTATTATTACCTTCACTTCCACACTTTGCTGATTAGGCCCTCTGTAAATTCATTTTACAGAAGTCTTGCTCTTGTTCAGCAATCCTTTCGTCTACATCTTGCTGCCTCTCTATGGAATTTGCTAATGTAGATATTCTACAACCATTCTTCGAGATCCCAGCCACTCAGCCTGCTTTAAGGCTAGCAGTGCCATTTTACTCCCCCTGCCTCCTAAATTTTTTCAGTATCTCATTTATTTGGTCCTCCTTCCTTTTGGCCTCAAAGACCAAGGCGATCTTCTTCCTGGATGAATGAAACCCTTGTATTTGAGCTCTCATTCTCATCCCTACCCACCTCTAAGATTTTTTCTTCATCAATTACCATACTCCAGTTTACCTGAAACTTCAATCGCTTTATTTACCTAAAATCTGTCCTCTACCTACTAAGCTCCCCCAATTCATCTTCTATTTCTCTGTCTTGCTATTCACCTGCATGTTATCACCTTATCTCTTCTCTATATGGCTAAACTTCTTCAAAGGGCTGCTCTACACTTAATATTGCTGCTTCCTATTACTATTACTACTATTATTATTATTATCAGGTGCTGGTTCAGAATCAGGACGAGGGCCTAAGCAGAGGGCCATTCTGAGGAAACAACGCTGAAGCTCAAGGATGAGAAGCAGCAGAGGCCAGCATGTGAAAAGGAGGACAGCCAATGTCCTGTTATGACCTGAAAGAGAAAAGCTGCCCTTCTCATCTTGGAGCAACCCACAGCTGAAGTCCTTATCAGTTAATATTTTCTGTAAAGCATTCCTAATGCTAGCTGTCTGCTTTTACATCTCACGTCTACTTAATTTCCAACATGTTATATTGGAAGCAATACCTGGTATTGGTATTTTAATGTTCAGTTCCTCCCTAGTAATAAACAAAAACGAAGTTGAGCAGATGAGCACTCAAGGCTCTCCCTATCATTCCTGTAAGAGTGCCACCTCTTTGGGATTCTACTGTACCTGACCTATTAACCTGAGATGACATGCATTATACGGTTATCAGTATGTACACCCATCCAGCCCACTAAGATTCGAGTTCTTTGAGAAGTTCCTTCCCATGCATTTAACTGTACATGTAATGCAATGCTTGCACCTAGTAGGTGCTTTACTTATTGAAAGGTATCCAGTCCTACTGTGATTCTCTACTTATGAGTTAACAGTTATAAACATGAATAATAATTAGTAGGTGTAACAACTATGCTTGATTTTAACACTATGAAAAATTTGGAATCAAAATTTTTAGGAAAAAAATGCGTACTTCAAAACAGTTTAGCTTAACTGAAGTCTCAAATGTAAAATAAAACAAAATGATGCCATATAAGTACTAGAATAAAATACAAGAAAGGGGCTTTTGCAATTAAAAGGCTTTTGGAAGCATGACACCAAGGCAGAACCAATAAAGCGAAAGGCTGACAGACATGACAAAATAAAAATGAAAACATTTCAATGTTGTAACAAAATGATACAAAACAACAAACATAAACAACTTACAAACAGTCACAAAAGCAAAGAGGATAACAACACATGAGGTACGTACGACAAAAGGTTAATAATCTGACTACATAAAACACCCTAGTATGACCATCACCACCATATAAATGCAATGGACATGAACAGGTAAATGAAAAAACAAATGCGTAGTAAACACACCATGAGAGGATCAAATCCACTTGTGATTTTAAATGTTTCATTTCCAACACTTTTTTATCAGGCAAAGATTTAAGACGTGTTGAAAACTGAACTCTCGATAGCCTACTGATTTTCTGAAGAAGGACAAACTGGCAATACATACATCAAAAGTCATTCAGGCCCTTTGACTCTGAAAAGCCACTCTTAGAAAATTATTCTAAAAATTAACTAAGCAAGTAGGTAGCAATATGATTTTCGCAGCCGAATTTTAAAAAACTCGTGGACTGGACACTGAAATGCCTGTGAATGAGTGAGTTCGATAAATATATATGCAGAGTGAAATGCTCGTGGACTGGACACTGAAATGCCTGTGAATGAGTGAGTTCGATAAATATATATGCAGAGTGAAATGCTGCATGGCCATGTGGATACATACACAGTCATGCACCATGTGAAACAACGGACGACACATCTGCAGAGGCCCCATAATACTACAATGGAGCTGAAAATCTCCTATCACCTAGTGACGCCACAGGGTCATAATGTCATGGGTGCACTGCAGTGCTGTTTGTCGTGATGCTGGTGTAAACAAACCTACTATGCTGCCAGTGGAATAAAAGTGCAGCAGATATAATATGTACAGAATACAATACTTGATAATGACTATGTTAGTGGTTTATGTATTTACTATGCTAAACTTTTATCATTATTCCAGAGTGTACTCCCTCTACTTATTTTTTTTTAAATGTTAACTGGGAAAACAGCCCCAGGCAGGTCCTTCAGGTGTTCCACAAGAAGGCACTGTTGTCACAGGAGATGATGGCTCCATGCATGTTACTGCCCCTGAAGACTTCCCACTAGGACAATCTGTGGAGGTAGAAGACAGTGACACTGATGACCCCGATCCTGGGTAGCCCTAGGCTAATGTGTGTGCTTGTGTCTTAGATTTTACTAAAAGTTTAAAAACTGAAAAATAGAAAATTTTAGGCCAGGTGCAGTGGCTCACGCCTGTAATCCCAGAACTTTGGGAGGCCGAGGCAGGCAGATCACTTGAGGCCAGGAGTTCAATACCAGCCCGGCCAACACGACAAAACCCTGTCTCTACTAAAAATACAAAATATGGGCGTGGTAGTGGGTGCCTGTAATCCCAAGGCTGAGGCACGAGAATCACTTGCACCAGGGAGGTGGAGGTTGCAGTGAGCCAAGATCACGCCATTGCACTCTAGCCTGGGTGACAGAGTGAAACCGTGTCTTAAAAAAACACAAACAAAAAGAAAAAAATTTTAAATAGAAAAAAACATTTTTGTACTGCTGTACAATGTGTTTGTGTTTTAAGTGTTATTGCGAGAGTCAAAAAGTTAGAAAGATATAGGTTAAAAAAGTTTCAGTAAGCTAAGGTTTATTATTGAAGAAAGAAGACTTTTAAATAAATTTTATAAATTTACAAAATATTAAATACATTAAAAATATTAAAACATTAAAAATAAATTTAGTGCAGCCTAAATGTACAGTGTTTACAAAGTCTACAGTAGTGTACAGTAATGTCCTAGGACTTCACATTCACCCACCACTCACTCGCTGACTCAGAGCAACTTCCAGTCCCGCAAGCGCCATTCATAGTAAGTGCACTAAACAGGCATATAATTTTTTTAATCTGTTATATATACTTTTAGTGTACTTTTTCCATGTTTAGACAGACACATACCATTGTTTTACAGCTGCCTACAGTATTGAGTACAGTCACATGCTGTATGGGATTTACAGCCGGAGAGCAATACACTAAACCATATAGCCTAGGTGTGTCGGAGGCTATGCCTTCCAGGTTTGTGTAAATACACTCTGATGGTCACACAAGGATGAAATCATGTAATGACGCATTTCTCAAGACCTATCCCTGTCATGAAGCAACACAGAACTGTTCTGAAATGCTCACAGAGGTTTTCGCTAGGAAGGTGTTTTTGCCTCTTCATCCACTTTATAACGCTTTTTTACTATGTTCAGAATTTTAGTAAAATTATACAGGATATTGGGGATATATTATATATCCCCAATGTTCAGTGACGCATGACTGTACTGAAGTTAGATTGGATCTTGTCATGTGTCCGTTTGAAATATATGGTCCTATTTTCTGGTATAAGATGAGTTTACTGGGCATGTTTTGCGTTGCCCCTTGAACACATGTATGTCAGCAGCTATTTTCCTTATTACTCTGATAGTTTGAGGAGAGAAAATGGAGGAGCACAGGAGAGAAGACAGAGATCAGTAGAACAGAGAGCAGGGAAGAAGATCTGATAGAGTTCAGAACTGGGGAAAATAAACATCACATATATCATGACCTGAGTGTTTCTGACGCTCTGGTTATGTCCAGGGATGAGGTTAAAAAAAGACATCTTATAATGAAAGGCCACACTCTCAGACACAGGCATTTTATTCTAAGAGTCATACGGCAATGAAAGCTTTAAATTAATGACATGACTGAAACTGTCAAAATGCAGAAATCAACAACTGCTTTTTGCTGATTAAAACACCTTTCTGCCCAAAGCCCCCACAGCCTTTAACCACAGAGTAAAAAACACCTTTCCAACTGACACAGCTTTGAACAGCCCCTAAATCCTTCTCCTTACATGCTGGGCCAAAAATGTGCTATTTCAAATACACTATTGATTTCAGACCTACTTATAATATCATCTCTATGTGGAAAGTCTGGAGTATAGCAATACAACTTTCTTGGATGTATTATCAATGTAGTGTATGTGTGCCAAATATTTTGCATGGAAAAACAAAACAGCTCAAGATTACACAGGAATGGAGCGCTTAAAAAGTTGAAAGTATGGATGAAACTCACCATACCTGATACAAGGGATAAAAACAAGTTTCCCGAGGTGCTGGCCTTAGAATGTGCAGCAAGCCACCTGAAGAACACTATGCAGAATAAGGATGGTGCTCAGGATCAGCAGCTAAAGCAAGACACTGAAGCTCACTCAACTGATCACACCCAAAAAAAACTATTAGCAATTTGCTGTTTTAAAACAAACAAATAGCAATTTGCTTCTGTAAACAGTGCAACCTCTTGTTATAAAAACTGTTTAAAAACTTTATCATCCACTAGGCAGTCTGTTAATTAACTGCAATTTAAAAATAACATTACAGTTGTAAAACTATGGACTACAATGAGATTGTGAAAACATACAAAATAAAAGATGTTTGTTCTCTGGAACAACGCCATAACCAAACAGTGGTCCTACTGCAGTATGAGAGAACTCTCATCTCACCAGCAATGATGCTGGTGTGAAACAAGCCACACAGCAAGGCAGCCTACACAGGGCAGGAGGGCCGAGCAACTGCTGGGTGCAGTCTCAGGGAATACCCTTTTCAGCTTTTACCACCACTCCCAGACACCAAAACTCATAAGCAGACCTCCCTTTACCCACCCTTATCCTTTCCATCAGGTCTGCTGTGGTTCTGAGCATCTGCTGGGAGATAGAAAGGTTCTCAACGGACAAAGCAGGGCATACCACCCAGCCACCCAGACTCTTCAGCTTTGTATACCTGAGCTGAGGCTTCAAGGCTACCTTCATTAGTCCTTTCAGAGGCAGGATGGGATAAAAACAGCGGAGGAGCAAAGTGGGTGAAGTGGCTCCTGTGTTCCTAAAAGTGTATCATTTAAAGTAAGACTTTTGGATGGGCGTGGTGGCTGATGCCTGTAATCCCAGCACTTTGGAAGGCCAAGGCAGGCGGATCACTTGAAGTGAGAGTTCAAGACCAGCCTGGCCAACATGGCAAAACCCTATCTCTACTAAAAATACAAAAACTAGCCAGGCGGGCATGGTGGCACGCATCTGTGTTCCCAGCTACTTGGGAGGCTGAGGCACAAGAAGTGCTTGAACCTGGGAGGTGCAGGTTGCAGTGAGCCGAGATCACACCACTGCACTCCAGCCTGGGTGACAGAGTGAGACTGTCTCAAAAAAATAAAATAAATAAATCTTTTACATTAAATCTACTGTGCTACATTTACAAAGTTTTAACTGTGATTTGAGGCCAGTTATCAAGAGTTAACTAAATTTCTTTTCCCTTAATAAAAAGTAGACTTCTCAGAGAAATATGAAACAAAGACTCTAGCTATACAGTAAAACAGTAACATTAAATGCACCCTGAACAACTCTACAAAAAACAATCTTAGACTTTCCCTCTCCTCAAACTATCAGAGTAATAAAGAAAGTAGCTGCTGACATACATGTGTTCAAGGGACAATGCAAAACTTGCCAGGTAAACTCATCTTGTACCGGAAAATAGGGCCATCTATTTCAAACTGACACATGCCAAGATCCAATCTAACTTCAGTACCGTCATGCGTCACTTAACATTGGGGATATACTACGAGAAGTGAATTGTTAGGCAATTCTGTCTTTGTGCGAACATCACAGAACGTATCTTCCCAAACCCAGATGGTAGAGCCTACTACACATCTAGGCTACATGGCATAGCCTATTGCTCCTCGGTTACGAGCCTATACAGCATGTTCCTGTACTGAATACTGTAGGCGACTGTAACACAATGGTAACTATGCGTGTATCTAAACACGGTAAAGGTAAATACAGTACTATAATCTTATGGAACCACTGTCAAATATGCGGCTGTTGTTGACCAAAACATTGTCATGCAGCACATGACTGTAGAGGAGGAAAAGAGGAGGAAACATTAAGCCTAAAAGAGCTAACTATTCAACTGTCCCCTTTCCTTTTTCAACTGAAAAAATTCCTGGTATCTAAACTGAGAAAATACACATACTAGTGACAAACCACACTATTGTTAAAAGAAACACTCTTCAGTGTAAACAACTAACGCTGGAACTATCGTTTGTTTTCCTTTTCTTAAATGGGAAGGATAAATTCAAATACCAGAAATGTAAAGGGGTACCTTTACTAAATTAAAGATAAAAGATACTTACAATTTTTGCATTTTTCCCACTTTTCCTTAGTTGCTGAACAGCAAAAGCATGTTCAACATTATCCATTGAAACTCCGTTAACCATTGCCACTCGGTCATTTTCCCTAAGGGGAAAAGGGCACAAAATAACACGTTAGAGAAAAACATTCTGGTAAGTTTATGATGGTATTTTCAAGATAGGTACTTCTAAAATGTATTCTAATTATGAGCCAATTAATCAATTTCTCTTCAGATCAATAAAATAATGTCAACTGATTTACTTTCAGGTTTCTCCACAGAATGTTTAACAAGTAATTAACCACAGGTCCTTAATTTTTTTAAGTCCATTAACAAAGTATTTCCCCAGAAGACTGAACAGATATCACATCCATGAAATGATTCTTGGTAGTACAGTTACAGGGCATTAAATGATACCAAGTCATAGAGCTGGAAATCCTATTTCCTTTTACCTTTTAAGTTTTTCATCTTTTAATTTTCTTTTAATACTTCTAATTGTAGTGCCATTATTTTGCTAGTATATTTTGTGTTTTTCTTTAGCTAACTCATCTTCATATGGAACAAAAAGGATGCAAGACTTGGGAAGAGAGGCTTCTGAAGGCTAGATTCTATCCAAAACGGAGTTATAAATTTTCTTTTTCACTATTTTTACAGTTACACATTCTATTTAAAGTGAGTGATACTAGCTTTCCAATTTTAATAGGGATAAAGCTTCCTTTATTTTCTTTGGAGACAGGGTCTTGCTCTGTCACCTGGGCTGGAGTACAGCGGTGCAATCATGGCTCACTGCAGCCTCAGACTCCTAAGTTCAAGGGATTCTCCTGCCTCAGCCTCCCAAGTAGCTGGGACTGCAAGCACATGCCACCATGTGATTTTTAAACTTCTTTTGTAGAGATGGGGCTCTCACTACATTGTCCAGGCTGGTCTCGAACTCCCAGTCTCAAGTGATCCCCCTGCCTCAGCCTCCCAAAGTGCTAGGATTACAAGGAGTGAGCCACCACACCTGGCCAGTTTCTCTCTTAAGTAAACATATGTTAATTTAAGGAAAAAATATATGAACCATGGCACAGGTGGTGTATGAATATGGCAAAACACTAAGACAGTGTAAGATAGTAGGCCAGTGCCCGAGGACAGGAACACTGCTTGTCGCACAGGTGCCCACGATAAGCAGCACTCTTACTGTAGCTGTCCTTCAGCTGGTCCTCCTTTCAGCACATCTGAAATCACGATTGACGTTTCCCCACTCTGAAAATGAGGATTATCTCGTCCACCAGATATTGCAATGCCAAATCCAAATCCAGGAGCCTAAGGTAAAAATTATAGTAAAATATTGTTATTAAGGATAAAAATAATTGTTATATCATACTCTACAATCCAGAGAGGTCGAAATACAAAAATTACAATCTTAATACATTTGTGATTGATAAACACTCACCTGCATGGTTACCTGTTAGAATTATCCTTGTACAAGAATGTATGCTCTAAAAACCACTGGACGTAACAGAAGATTAAAAATCGCCAACTATATACATGTTCTTTAAAAACCAAAAGACATTTAAAACGTATTAACACTGAAATCCTCACTTCATTTTTGATGATCAGAAGAGGTCCTGAGGAGATTGGCAGTACCCAGTGTGATCATCATTCATCCTGGCAACTGATTTAGAAGATGACAGACTTATCCAGCATATATAACATTTGCCATTTTACATAAAATATCAATTGCTTTGAAAATCGAGTATTAGTTATTTCAACAACTTCTGCAAACTTCTAAAAATCTCTGTAGAATATAACGTCTTGTGCACATTAAACAAAAGAAGGTGTACATTAGCCATATTGAACAAACATTGTAAAATTACCTTTTTTAAAAACTGAATTACAATAAGCCACACACTTCTGAAAGAGCCAAGAATCTTTACCACAATGACTCAGGACAGGCCAGTATATAAAAAATTCAAAATATCTTCAGGTTGTTAAAAAATCACCTAATCTCAAAGAAATCACTATTCCCTAGAAAGGATATGAAGTACTTAGAGTAGTCTAACGAGACATCATACATTTTCTTAAGACTATAGAATCATTAAACCAGAAATACATGTTTTTGTATAAAACTGTACAATTCAAACTGCCTGAGGACAAAGGTAACAACTTCCTCCCTCAGCTTTCCAGTCCGCAACAAAGGAGACTATGTTCACCACGAATAGTGCATACATCACCTTTCCTCCCATCCCAAAGCCTACAGAAGTAGCAAAAGAAAAAAAAACTCTTCTTAAGAATGAATACCAACTATCCAAGTGTCCATCAACTGATGCATGGATAAAACATGGTATATATCCACACAATGAAACATTGTGTGTAAAAAGGAAAGAAGTACTCATACATAGTGTAACATGAATGAACCTTGAAAATGTCATGCTAAGGTGAAGAAACCAGTCACAAAGGTTAATAGATTCTATTATTCCATTTATATAAAACGCTCAGAAAGGCAAATCTATAAAGACAAAAACTTGATTGGTGGTTGTCTAGGGTTACAGGGATTGGGGGGGTGATAGGTCAATGGGAGTTTCATCCCCTGCCCCCCAGCAATGAAAATGTTTTAAAATGGACTCTGGTGATGGTTACACAACTCGGAACATGCTAAAAAACAATGAATTGCATATTTAATTGTATGGTATGTGAATTATATGGCAATAAAGCGAATACAAAAAGAAGTTAATATGAAAAAAGAAAATAATAACAGGGAAAATTCTGAGTAACTAAAGACAATGGCAACCATCTGAATCTGTTTCTCTATATATCCTCCCCAAATTTAATACAACAAAAATAGACCAACTACAGTGGTTCTTCCTTATCGTCGGTTTCATGTTCTTTGCTTTCAGTTACCTCAGGTCAACTGCAGTCTGAAAATTTTAAATGGAAAACTTCAGAAATAAACAACTGGTAAGATTTAAACTGCACACCGTTACGAGTAGTGTGATGAAATCTTTTGCCATCCTGCTCCATCCCATCTAAGACGTGAATCATCCCTTTGTCCAGGGTCTCCATGACATAGGGGCTCCCCGCCCATTAGTCACTCAGTAGCTGCCACAGTTATGAGATCAACTGTGGAGAGGTAACACAATGCTTGTGTTCAAGTCACCCTCATTTTACTTAATCATGACCCCAAAGTGCAGTAGTAGTGATGCTGGCAATTCAGATATGCCAAAGAAAAGCTGTAAAGTGTTTCCTTCGAGAGAAGGTGAAAGTCCTCCACTTAATACACGGGAAAAAAAATCATATGCTGAGGTTACTAAGATCTACAAGGAGAAGGAATCTTCTATTAGTGAAGCTGTGAAGGAAAACGAAATTTGTGCTAGTTTTGCTATCACACCTAAAATTGCAAGGGTTTAGCCACAGTGCATGATAAGTGCTTATTTAAAATGGAAAAGGCATTAAACTTCTGAGTGGAAGACAGGAACAGAAATGTGCTCCAATTAACAGCAAAATTGGGTTTGACACTATCAGTGAATTCGGGCATCGACTGGGGGAACATGTGCCCCACGGCTCAGAGGGGACTACTGTACACAAAACCATACACTCATCATAATTCAAAGACAATATCCAAATTTCAAATTAAAAGCAGGACTAAAACTTCAAAAATAAATGATTAGAGACAAATGACTATTAGTACGGCATTAGAAAACGTTAAGAGACTACCGAACAAATTCAAAGAAATTTAAAAACCTAAATGAAACATAATTCCTTAAGGAAATACAGATTGCCAAAATTGACCCTATTATAAATAAAAAGCTTAAATGGCCCAATTTCTGGAGAAAAAAGCAGCAAAACTTATGAGGGAATTATCCCACAAAAAGGCACCATGTACAAATGATTTCCCAAGGGAACTGTGCCAAAACATGCAATATCCAGATAGCCTCAATACAATGTATTGTTTCAGAACACTGATACCAAGGAAAGCTTCTAAATTCTTTTTACGAAGCAAGTATAATACTGACACTGAAACCTGATGACTGTCCATGATAATGACCAACCCCCCAATATTACAGCTCAACATAATTTATTCGTTATCAGTGCAAAATACAAAATAAAAATAAGCAAACAACGGCCAACACTACATAAATACTCCATGATAAAGGGATTAATTCCAGGAATGCAAGATTAGTGTATTAGGAAATCCACTGGCATAATACATCCTATTAATAAATCTAAAGAAAACAATTATATGATTATCTCCAAGATCCTGAAAAAGGCTTTGACAAAATTTGAGTTTTCACCGCTGAAGAGAAAACAAAGTTTGTGAAAATGCATGGTAACAAACCCCGTAGTATGTTGCTTTTTGTTAAAGTACACACAGAAAATCCAGCTTTTCATACACATGTACAGTCATTGAAAAAGAAGAGTTATTTTAGTAGCCTTTTAAGGTAATTATGAAAATTCATGCTTGATTTTATGCCAAAAACTTAATACATTTCCTAAAGGAGAGTAACAATGTACAGTTTGAAACCATATCAATCAACTGTCTCTATTATTGCATGAATATCTATTGGCCTATTTTACACTCTGAATATTTCATCCATGCAAAATTTTATTATAGCATGCCTTAGTCTTTTGGAAAATACTGGTTCCCTGAGTTAGGCAAATCGTCCAAACGATGCCACATTTCACCACACGGTGTATTTTTAAATCACGTGTTAATATCACTATCAAGATTATCAAAAGAATCTTTAAGTACTGAAAAGCTATTGAGCTTATGGTGGCAGATAAAAATTTTTCAAATTTTAATTTTTGTTTTAAAAATCAGTTTTCATTGTTAGCAACAAATACTATCAAGAATTGTTCTCCTTGAAGCAAGGTATTCATTCATTTTGGAGAAATATGTTTGTCAAATATTCAAGTTTGGATAACCATACATTCCTTCAAGTAAACAATTGTTCCTTCAAGTAAAAGTGATGCTGGCCTTCCATCCCCCACTCAATACACAGCTGCAATTCAAATAATCACACAAGTACTTTAGTACAAGGCAGAACTACTTTAGGCACACTTCTCATTTGCATACCTAGACTACTGAAAACGTGTGTACTCAAGGGTTGGAAAGTAGTAAGACGTAGTTCTGTTTCAAGTCATTCTTAAATAAAACTGAAACTGTTCTTTTAATCTATGTGTGTGTGACAATGACTATTATAAGGTTTGGTGCCACTGCCTTGACACAGTTTTAACCACCATTGTTTCTAAACCTTTGCTCAAATAATAACACAGCAAAGAAGATAAGAAATACCTCCATAATGTATAAAAAGAGTTTTGCCCTTGAACCTAAAATGTTCTCAGGGACCTTCAGGAGTCCACAGACCATACTTTGAAAATGTTGATATCAAGAACTACTTAAACATGAAGGGAGAAAAAACCAAACAAAATAAAACAATGAAACAAACAATTTACAAAAGACATATGAGATGTTAAAACCCACAGATAAATGCAAATTAAAACCAAAGAACGCCAAGAACAGAAACATTAAAGCATGACATATTTCAGAAAAGGGAGGCTATAGGGAAACAGGCTGTCTACTACTGACGGGCACACAAATTGCTACAACTTTCAGGAGAGGAATTTGGCAATAACCTAACAAAACTACAAATGTACTATCTTCTGACAGAGCAAACTAGCTTCTAAAAAGTACCCTAAAGATACACATACCTCTCTCACAGTACCAAGATAACAAACGCACAAGGTTATTCATTGCAGACTGTTTGTAACTGCAAAATGCTGGAAAAAACCTAAACACCCCAGCCTTACTAAAGGATTATCCTTTCCCTTTTTTTTCTCCTTCAAAGAGGTGGGGACTAATCTTTGTAATTTAGTAATTTGAAAAATTACTCTATGTAATTTTACAGTATGAACTTACATCTTGTTTGGTAGTTCTTTTATTTTCTTCTTTTATTTAAAAGTTAAAAACATAAAAAGATTAAAGAAATACCAAAAACATTAGGAACTTTCAATAAGCAAGGCAGGGATGCGAGCATACATTTTAAAAAATCACTTGTGAGCAAGTAAATGTAGTTCGGGTACCTAGCAGGGCAGGTAATCCTGCTCTGTCAGTGCTTACCACAGTTCACTTAATGACTATCCAGGAAGCCTGCCACTTCTTAAGAATCACTTGGAAACAATTTCAAAACTGCTTGCTGATGCACGATCCTCAATCTATACCAATCAAGTATAAATGGAGAAGAGGAATTGGTGTACTTAAAAAAAAAAAAAATAGCCCCCAGGTGATTCTAATGAGCAGCCTGGAAGGAGAGCTGCAGCTTTCA